TGACATGAGAATTACATGGTGCAGCTGCACATCTGCAGTTGAGGATTCTTCCAGCTGTGAATGGGGTGTCTTCTTCTGCAGCATATAGTGTTCATAGAATCATAGATTGTTTAGGTTGGAAAAGATCTTTGAGACCCTCAAGGTGTTTTTTTTCAGCCCTTTGCATCAGGTTGAGGCAAGTAGGCAGCAGACGGGCCCCCTCCTTGTGACATGGGAACTTGTTCCCTCATGGCTGAAGGCAGCAAGCTGGGAGGGCAGTCCTTCCATTGGACTTCTGCAGCAGCAGAAATGGCTTCTGGTAATCCATGGCTCACCCTCACTGTGTTACCAGCTTTCCAAAACTCAGTAGTTGCTTTCACAGCTCTGTTCTGCTACAAACTGGGTCTGCTTTACATTGAAAAAGTGTAAATTTTTTTTCTCCTTCTCCTCCTATCAGATTGTTTTCCACCCCCTTCATACTTTTGATTCAGTATTGGGTTGATATTACGTTACTTGATACAGTAATACTAGAAAAAATAGACAAAGTAGATGTTAATAGGTATCCAGGAGTGGATAACATTTATGAGAGTGTTCCTCAGAAACTCAGATAAGAAACCACAGAACTGGGTCTGAGGTCTGTCTGTCATTGGAGGTGCCATCAGAGGCTGCCAGTATGCTCAAAAACTGCTTTAGCGGGGCCTGGGGAATGCTGAAGTAATGGGGATGGCTGCCATTCCTGGTGAGGTGATACAGTCTGTGACAGAGAATGAGATCAAGGGACACGTAGATGAACGCAATCTGTTGGGAAGGTGTTGGAGAGGCTCCGATGCAGTCCTGCACCACTGGCATTTGGAGGAGGGGCAGTAAGTATGCCGATAAAGGGGGTCGTGTGGGCATAATAATCCTCTTGCATTTTCAAAAAGCCTTTGAGAAGCTTTTTGTAAAGCTCATTAAACTTTGTAAAGAAACTATGTTGCCACAAGATTGGATGGGAGGTTGGTTTTTGGGTTAAAAGCTGGTGTAAGAAGAGGAAGTGGAGGACAGGGCTTAGCAGTCACTCTCCAGGAGGGAGGGCATTCGTGGAGTCAGGGAATAATTCAGGTCGGAAGGGACCTCTGGAGGTCATCTAACCCAGCCTCCACTCCAAGCACATCTAACAAGCTCAGATTGTGCAAAGACTTTCCCAGTGAAAGCTTGAATGCCTCTAAGGATGGTGATTCCACAACTCAGTAAAAAAGCCTTGGGATTTGTGCTAGTTTTCCTTGATGTCTCCACCAGTGACTTCAGGAAAGCAGTCAGCAGTGAAATCTGTTGGGCTGGAGGGACAGTAACGTCCGGCCGGGAGTGCCTATGCCATCTGTGAATTTGGCTTAAGTATTCATGTGGGGAAAAAAACCCAAACATGCTTCCAAGCCTGATCAACCCTACACCATTTTTCTGGCATAGTTGTGATGAAAAATATTAGTCGTCCTTAACTCTGTCCTGCCATTCATTCCTTGCTTTCCTGCCCAGGCGGCTTTTGTTAGTTTGAATGTGGCAGGTGGCTACAGCCACAGAAAAACTCATTTTGTTTGCTCATGCTTTATCCATGCAGGAGGTCTCGGCTGGCAGATCTTGCAGCAGCAATCTCTGTGGTGTGGATAAGCACCAATAAATTCATGCCTATGACAGGTTATATTTTGCAACATTAGGAGGAAACATCTCTGTTCACCAAAATGTGTTACTGTTATCTGGAGCCACCTTTTATCTCTGAAAAAAACCTGGAAATTTACCTCTCCTAGAACAACGTAGTCTCTCGTGCACCTAAAGCCGCTCATAACATCAGCAGCACCTCTGTGCAGCGCACAGGCTCAGCTAACAAGTGGGCTTAGCAACAACTTTGAATCCAAGTGCATTAGATCCCTCCAGTGTCCTGAAAATACGGACCAGTTAGTCATATGTGAATCAGGGCAAATAAGGCTACAGCTTCCACAAGGAAAAAGTCCTCCTTGAGTTGGCTGCAGTTATCTCCTTGCCATGGAAAATATCATTACCCCTTTGTCAGCAAAGACTGTGTATTTGTTTTCATTGCCTTATCTGAGATACTTGCTGGAAAGCTTCAAAAGAAATAATTCGAAACAACATAACAGTGTTCCAGTGTAAAATGCACAAGACCAACTATGCCATCATTTTCTAAATCCTGTCAAAACCTCCCTTTTCTGCAGTTTTATCATTGTATGTCAGCAGCAATGGCAAATGCCTGCTGGCTGAAATGTTTGCTAATCATAGGATATTCAACTTCCAGATTGCCAAACAGAGAGCAGTCAAGCAATCCTCTTCTCTCAGTTAAACAATCTTTTATGGCTTTCCCTTGCAGTGCCCCTGTAACTTGCAGAATGCATCTGAGGTAGCAGCGCCAAGCAACTTCTCTGTTCGTGATGTTTATTACCCTGCAAAAGTGAACTCATTTCCTTTTCTGTTTTCTGTTTGTTTATTTGAAATGTCTTACGCAGTCCCTCAGCAATACAGACAAAAATGGGGTTATGGACCTACTTTCACAGAAGAACAGACAGCATTTTCATCCAATTTTAATTCTTGCTTTTCAAATATTGTTTTAAATCCTCTGATTGCTGAAGTGCTACTAAAACAGTACGGTATTTTAGTGCTGTAAGCTTTAAGTGCTGTTCATCAGGTGAGATGAATCCCACATCCACCATCTGCATAGTTTGCCAAGCGTTTTCTGCAACCTTCCATCTCTGTTGGTACCCCTGCCCTTCGCACCCTTGGGCGAGACTAGGTCCACAGCAATGACTGAGCTATGCTAATTGGAGTTTGAGTTAATTGATCAGTTCTCACTAGGGCTGCCTTATTTACGAGCCCAGTTTTTCCTGGTGTTGCATCTCTCTATGTGTGTGCATGCCTGCATGTGTGTGCAGGTATATATATATATTTATATATGTAACTGTAAGTAATATATATATATGTGTGTGTGTAAATATATATGTGTGTGTATACATTTGAGTGTGTATGTGTGTGTGCATATGTATGTATTTAGCTACACCAGGTTTTGTTCACTAGTGTAAAAACCTTTTCTCTCAAGGGTTTCCTCATTTTCAACATCTAGACCACTACAAGTTCAAATTTAAGGATTCCAGGGGATGTTCCGTGCCCTTTAAAAAGTACATTAATAGACATGGTTGAAAG